TTTTGGTTTGTACCGCCTCTATAAGGTACTCTCCATAACATAAAATCACAGTTTAGTACAGCAGGGCGTAAGAAGAATGTGGGAAAGAGAAGCTAAACTGTATGCCACTCTTCCCGTGATCATGCCCCAGCTGTTTCAAAATGTGGCAGTAGTTCACCTGAGGTTGTCATGTGAAAGATGTAAAGCAACATTAGGGAAAAAAAATTAAGGAACTTAAGGGTTAAACAAGAACAGGTTTAGATATAAATATTGCTCAATATAACTCAAGTTTACAGATTCCCAACAGATATTATACTCTGTTTTGCAAACTGCACCCACTAATGCCTAAAGGGGTTAGTTATACTCTGTCACAAAACTAAAAATGGTGCTTGTAATATAATATCTAAATGGGGTTAATAAAGTTTTAATATATGCATGAAATATTTTTTGTATTTTAACCCCTAATTTTGTTTCGTGTTCAAATAATAATATAAATATCTAACAAAATGGATCAATTTAGAGATGTTCTGTCTCACCACACTACGCCCAGTGCAAGTAAAGGATAACTAGAAAATCTAACCGGACTTTGCAATATTTACAAACAACCCATCTAAATTTGAAAACAAGAATCACCACCCACTTGAAATATAGTTCCACTTCACATTGCCCCAACCCTTAGTTTGAGTTGAAGGAAGTATCTGACAACATCAATTGTTCGGCAAATTCACACCTTAACTTAAAAAATGTACAATTGCTCCCAGTTTTTCCTAAAGGTATTTGTAATATTCAAAAACATCAGGATGTAAATGGAATAAGCAAGATGAATATATGGAGTTTCTGAAATATTCGGAAATTTTAAGGTATGTAATTGCAAATCTTCCAAATTGATGGGTTAGTGTGAGCTTATCCATGCAATTATGCAATCTGGGAATAGGAAACCGTTTTCTGAAAGATCCTGGCTGTGAACAATTTCCTTTGGCTCCACAAACCACAGGTACAAAATCCGATGCAAGGTGTAGCCTAAAGAGTGATTTTGAAATTTCCAATTCCCAAAATTAGATGGATATTTTATGTACATACTATAAACCATGAGGGTTGTTTAGATTCTACTTGTCCACTTGAACTATATAACATTGAAGAAAATTTTTGGTAACTTGCTCCTGCTTTCAAGATTTATTGTACTGACAATTTTTCTAACTAAAAATACAGATACAGCATATTTTCATGGTCAAGTTTCGTATAGGAAAAAAATTTCTTCCTAAAGATGCTACGAATCAAAGTCACATCCAGTATTAGCAAAGTTAAAAGCCAGAAAAAAAAGAAAAAACATATGAGTAACAAACAAAACTGATCAAAAAAATCAGAATCATTTTACCTCCATCCGGAATTTCTTGAAGGGTACAATGAGTCCAACTCCCACAGTGCTTCGAAAAGAATCTTTGAATTTCTGCAGAGACAACTCCTTGTACGCGTTCTCACTCAATTTGTTCAGGCTACCAGTCGAAGCAAACACGTGCCCATGTATACCGGCAGCCCTGAAGCCTTTCAGAGGCAGATCAAACGAAAGGTCTGCAAAGGCAGTCATAGCAAGATCCCCTCCAATATAATCTACTGCAAAATAATCAGAACTCTCATCACCAGAATCAGCTCTCACAAATCTCCTAGGCTCTGCGGGGCCCAGTCCCCTGGCCTTGAAGCCCAAAACAGAGATGGGCCCACTAAAGGAGCATACTGGAGAAGTCTTTCCGCCCATGAAGAACCTCTCGGGCAAATATGAGGACATACTCAGAGATCCTCTGCTCCATGGAACTAAAATGCCGGCTGATATTCCAAAGTTCAATGCAGCCCCGTAAAATCCCAAGGGGATTGCATAACGAAGATCAAACTCCTGTTCAGAACATTGGATATGAATAAAAGAAATTACATTACAAACTTGCTCATTAGCATTTGTATTCTAAAGGGTTCTGCAAAAGCCAACTCAGAACTTATGCAACAAGACAACAAGTTCTCCTAGCTATGTATTCTAAAATTTGCGGGAGTGAGAAGATAGGGTAAATCGCTGGAAAATGATAAAAACAAATTACTGATCCAAAGATGACCCAGCCTGACCCAACACACATGAGGGATTAAGGTATATAACAATCTGAAGTACGATAAGAGGAGTTTATAATCAAAAGTATAACAACTTTACGAAGCAAAATATAGAGAGAGATGCTACCATATGTTTTCTTGCCTAGTTTACAGGCTGAAATAAATTGAAAGAACAAGAGAAATTAAAACAACAAAAGCCCAGCAAGAGACCTGACGAATGAATCGTTGGCTCCAAGCATTGGGTAAAAGCCCACCAACTTGAGTAGTTAAAAGAAAGGTATGGCCTCTAGTCGGCCTAAGAGACGAATCTCTTAGGTCAACCTTAAACGCATACTTCAAGGACGAGAGCAAATTATGTCCGAGCTGCCTCCTGACAGTGTGAGATGACATTTGAGAAGGATCTGTTAAAGTACTCCAGGAGAGGTTGTAGGATAAGCTGTGCCTCCCAGTTTCCAGTAGACCGAGTGAGAGGCCAAGGACTTGCTCTTTATACGAAGAAAACTTCATCCAGTCCTGGGAAAGCATAGATATTCTTGCGGACAATGGATTTGGAATTCCTTTGAACCTGGGCAAAAGAATTCCTGTGCTGACTTCCAATGCTTGACCCCAGGCATAACCCAAAGAAGCATCCCATAGATCTCCATAACCGAACAGATTCTTCAGCCTGCCAAATGCTTCTAGTGACCAAGTTCTCGCCTACAGAGACACTTGAGTGTATCAAAAAATTAAGCTCTATAAATAAGATATCATCCATACAAAAAGAGAATGTAAATGAAAGAGATGGCGGGGAATACGTTTACTGTTTTACAAGCACCAACAATTCAATAGTTCATGAACAAGTTTGGTTGAGAAGGGATTAGACACAAAAGTCCAGTTTCCAATCAAGTCATGAGAAAATCGTATTCCACTAATACATACTATAACAAACACTATATTGAAATTATGTGGAACCATGCAGTTCATAAAATCGAAGCTACAAAAAAACCCACCTAATACACACCAACCCGAATAATTTCAACCCAAATGAAACGCATTAAACTCCATAATGACAAACTCCAAACCCAAAGCAGCGATTAACTCACTGATGCAAAAAGATGCTTTCACTACCGTTCCAAAGGAATCTACAGATAAAACCAACCTTATACACACGAACCGAAATAATTTCAACCCAATCGAAACACATTGAACTCTGTAACGACAAACTCCAAACTCCATGCAGCGGTTAACTCACGGATACAAACAGATGCTTTGATTACCGTTACAACCGAAGCTACAGATAGAACCCACCTTATACACACCAACCTAATCGCAATGAACTCCATAACGACAAATTCCAAACTCCAAGCAGCGATTAACTCACAGATGCAAACAACAGAAACGCTAGTAAAGAACTAAGTTACGTCAAATTCTCAAGCAAAAATGAATCAGTTACCTCAGGCCTTGATCTAACACCAACTTTTCCGAAAAATGGGTACGCCTCAGAAACCTCGATGACGATGTTAGCAGTTCCTGGCAACTCCGGCGGGCCCGCGTCAAGGGTAATACTGACCGAATCGAAAATCTCGAGACTCCGCAGCCGTTCGCTGCCAACACTGGCGGCGCGTACAAGATTCTGGAAGCTAGAAGCTTCCCTGAAAAGCGACTCGACCTCCGCCTCGATGACGGAGTCCATGGTCCTCCTGTTCCCCTTGATGATGATGTCATGTACCCGGACGGGGACCTGGTCCGTCGAGAGACGACTGAGTAGGGAGTCCATGCGGGCCTGGTCCATCCGCATTCGGGTCTCTGGAGTCATGGCTTCGGAGTCGTTGTCTTTTTCTTCCTCCTCCTCCTCCTCCTGTTCTGTCTCCTCGCCATCTTCGATTTCCTCGTAGGGTTTCGGGTCCGGGCTCGAGGTCTCCTTCGAGTTGAGTTTCGGGTCTGTATCGGAGTTAGCTTCCATGGACGGGGTTGTTTACAGATTATAGTGTGGATTTTGTAGAGAGAGAAAGACGAAGTAGTGCGACGGAGTGAGTGAGAGAGTGATGGTTTGGGGGACACGATACCGTTTGAAAGTTTATCGATGAAAAGTGTAAAGGTGTGATTGGATATAGATTTGAATGAAAATTTAAATGGTTCGGGTAGGTTCCAGTCTTGTACCCGTTTAGATATTTTTTCTTAAAAAAACTTGAACGGAACTGGGCCATGGGCTCAACTCAGTTGTGAGTTTTACCCGGAACTCTGGTCAACGGACTGACCCGACCCGGTGCACACATCGCCTCGACAAACTACAACACCTTGCTATCTTTCACGCACCCGCCTGAACAAATTCAAAATCAGGCTATTGGCACACACAAACCCTTGATTAATCCCTCTCTGAAATCGTACCGCCATTCAAATCCAGGTAATAAATTCCGTTCAATGTCCGACGACGGCAACGTCTTGTACGACGAACTATTCTCCTCGTTGAGATCCGACATCAAATCCTACAATGGCGTCGATCCTCTCCTCCCATGGCTCCGGTATTCACTTCACTCTTCTGCCATCGTTCTCTTTTTTTTTTATTGCCTACATTTTACATGTGTTAGTTTGATTTTGCTTTCACCCTCCTTTTCTTCTTATTTCTTGTACGTGTGTGTGTGTGTGCGCAGTGGAATAAGGAAGATGAAAGAGACGCTGCCGCCACAGCTTCTGAAACAGAAACTGCCTCGATTCCTCCAGAAATGCGCAGAAACTTTCCTGACTGACCGGCGCTATTCGAACGATTTGCGTTACCTTCGTGTTTGGTTGCAACTGGTATTTTCACTTTGTGGTTTGATTTTCTTATTTTTTTAGTCTTTGTTTTTTGTAATTATTTGTGCACCGTTTGGAGAGAGACAGTATGTGTTGTGTGGTTCCATTTGTTTATGCTGCTAAAATATGCTTTCAGTTGTTTGAATTGGGGCTTTCAAATTGATGTATATAAGAATATATTATGCCCACAAGTTAGCTGAAGAATTGTTAGGTCCAATGATTTTAGGATTTTTAAGTTCCTCGAAACTGAAAAATGTGATATGGTAACTGGTTGAATCGAATTCAGCATAGCGTAACCTTATGATTTTTCTTTTCGATATCCGTAATGTAGATGGATTTTCTGGACGACCCAAAAGCTGCACTGGTGACAATGGATAAGAATGGGATCGGGACGAAGAAGTCTCTGTTTTATCAGGCGTATGCTCTTTATTATGAGAAGAAGAAGAAATTTGAGGCAGCCGAGAAGATATATCATCGGGGAGTGCAAAAGTAACAAGTTTTAATCAGTTGTGCTTTTGGTAACCGTTTTTCATGGGACCAAATTGTGTACACTTGGTTTAGCTAGGACAATTTTTTTAAAAACATTTGCACCCTTTTGCCTGCATTAACCAGATCTGCAATATCAGTATTGTCGATATGCTGTAATATCTGGTTAAAATCCTTATTATATTTCTTTGGAATTCGGCTTCAATCTTAATTACTTGATTGCAACTTGCAAGTTCTTTACTTTTTTCATGCAGTTTAATGTGAATTCGCTCTGCAATCCGTTCCATGTTCGTAGCATAACTATAGTTTTGTAACTTTAAAGCTTTACAAAATCTCTGCTTGTGACCTTGAATTTATTTTCAACTTGCTTGATTTCTGGCATAATTATATATATTATGCTTTGTTTTATAAATAGCATGTTTGCTTTTATTTTTTCCTCTTTTCCTCTTCTTTTGTACTTCATTTTGTTTTTCATTAATTTTCACCTTATACAGCCTTGCAGAACCTGCGGACGAGTTGCAGAAGTCATATGATCAGTTTCTTCATCGTATGGGACGACACAAAAATAAGAGACTTCAGGTATTGATCAGACGTTGCCTAATACTTGTTCCATTCTTCAATAACATTTTTTATTATATAAACCACAAGTTTTAATAAAGCAGCTGCAGGTAGTGAAAAAAAATGACCGATTGGTGAATCATGATATGAAAGAGGGATATCATGACCATGTAAAGGAAAGTTCTCACCATGGAGACAAATTATCGAGAAAGACGGTGTTGAGTGATACTGGGGAGCAGGTAAAATCGAAACAAGACAAGAACAGAAAATTTTGTGGTGATGATACGATTGTGGTCAAATTTGTGGATACGGCTATAGTTGGGAAATCAAATGCAGAAGATGCACGTCATCACGGCCTTGTGGAGCCCACAATCAACACGAAAGAGGCTATGAATGCCATCAACAGCATGTTCCGAGAGCCAATAGAGCCACCAATCGCCGGCAGTAAATATAAAAACCAATCCGCAGGTGATAACTCCAAAAATGGATTTACCATTTTCACTGATGAAATTGTGGATGCCAAACGGCCGCCGGCCAAACCATTCGAAGTATATGTTGATGGTGAGCAAACCAATGACTTCAAAGAGAAAAAAGAGAATGGGATAAGTATAGAAAGGGGAAAATCCAGTCGTGCTAGCGCATCTATCTCTCATACTGTATTTGCTAAACCGAATGATTTCCCTTCGGAAGGTTCTAGAGATTCAAATACTAGGAGAGCCCACCAAGCTGGGTTCAGGGAGGACACATTTGTTTATAGATTCGTGGGGTCAACAATCTCGGATGAGCCGGAGGTGGAAAACGCCTGGCACCACGGCCTTGTGGACCCCACCATTAATTTGAAAGAGGCCATGGAGGATATTAACAGCATGTTCGGGAAGCCGATAGAGTTTACCAGGAAAAGCAGGTCCAAGAAAATCGAAAAAGTCCCTGATACGGGGAAAAACGGTGGCGGGTTTCTAATACTGCCTGATGATGAACCGGAAAATAATATTGCTGAAGATAATGATATTGGTAAACCAATGAACGACGATCACACTGGTTTTTTGATACTTCCTGATGATGACTCGGATGATCAAGCTGAGAACAACTTGCCGAGCTCGTCCACGGAAAAAGGAAGTGATTTGTTCGAACAAACAGTGTGCACAAAAGAAGCAATGGCTGAAATCAACAAACTATTCGCAATGCCGATGGATTTCTAAGAATATTGTAAGTGAAAATTTTTAAGTTTCCTCTTAGATTTATTCCCAATCTCTCTCTCTCTCTCGCTCTCTTTTTCTTTTTAAGTTTATTTAGTCTACACTCTGGATCACAGGTGATTAATTATTCTTGGACTGATTTATAGCCTTTATAGACTTAATGTAGCTTTAGAGAAGTACATAGCTAATGAAGAAAATCAAGAACTTGATTTATGAATAATCTTGTAGCTTACAGATTGAACGCTAGCTCAGATACATTTCAGCACATCAACAGAAAGATAAACGAAACACAGAAAACACTAAGAAAAAAGATTTAAACAAAAAAAAAAAAAGCGAAAAACAACATTTCAAGACTTATCTCGGTTACCACAAGGTTAATTAAATGAAAATTAACAACAATCAACTCAGGCTTCTATTTCCTTCGGAACACAATTCCCCGGGCGAAAAGCCAAGGGGCCCGCAGCATACACCACGGCCTCATAGTTCGGCCCGACAATCCTCTTTCCCTCGTAACGTAATGGTGCCCCATAGAGACCGTAATTCACATTCGTGAGGAGGTTACAATTCGTGAGAGGCGAAGAAACTAGTTTGACCTTGCATGAATGCAAAGGGTGGTCTAAGAAAGAGTGGTTCATTTTGAAACCCTTTAGCTCCCCGTAAAAGTACCCGTTTTTATCGGTTTTGAACGCTTTGTAGTAGCTGACTCGATTTCTGTGGTCCTTGCAGATGACACTGGCAATGGCCGACTGGATGGGCTTGGCCTTACCTACGTTCCAAGTCCCATATTGTTGGCAGGTTTGGCAGTAGACGACGCCCTCGACACCCACATCGATGACTTTTTCTGCCGCCGGTTTTGGCGGCTCCGGCAAGTCCGCGGTGGCCGTGCGGGTGGCGAGGGAGAGGATGAGGAGAGGTATGAGGGCCATGAGTTGGCTTCTTGCCATTTTTTTTCTTTTTTTTTTTTTTCAATTGNGGAATTATTGTCTTCTTGTGAGAATGTGGTTTAAAGGGATTGAGTTGGGAAATGTTTGAGGTTTATTGGCTATATATATATATGGGTATTTCATATTTGTGGGGGTTTGTATTTGACTGTATGAGATCGACGTGGGGACGACTAAAAAGTGTGTTGATGGGTTTGGTTGCTTTGTCTGATTATTGAGATTGAGAACGTGATGTCCATTTTCTATAGTTTGTATTGTGAGCTTCATCTATTTTATTAGTTTTACTGTGCTGTTTGGTTGGACAATATAATGAGGTGATGATTGGGTACACGATGGTTTGGTTTCAAACTTAGTATATTATATGTCAATCTTTCAAAATATGCTTCATGTGCAATCACATTTTTTTTCCCATCCATATCAGTTATCCTTCTTATATATTAATTCAGAACGTGTTGAACTTATGTGGCAGGTTCGCATGTTTCGGGATCCTATGTGGCAAAATTACATGCTTCGTGGTTGGATAGATTTAATTTACTTCTAATAAAAAAATATTTAGATTCGGATTATCTTTAAATATGTTGATTATTTATGGTAGGAGTGGGCACGGTCCGGGACGGTCCTGAATTTGACTTGTTCGGATATCGATCCCACTTTTATGAATCGATCCATGAACTCAGAATGAGGCACCGTCTGCACCCATGTAATACATGAGTGTTGTACTAGTATTGATTACACATAAAGACAAATATGAAGACTGTTTCATGGAAACGCGTGTGCGAGTGTAAAGCTGCTATGTGGAGTAAAACCGAAACTTCAAAAGTGATGAGTACCCTTTATTTGATTTCTAACTTTTTTTATATATATGTATTTATATATATATAGGTCTAATTATCAGACATTAGAATTTTTGATAAATAATATATTATGTTAAAGAATTAACCATTAAATCACACACTCAGTGAAATAAAAACATTCACGGATTTAATCACTTTTTTTTAATTTTACATCACATCAACTTTAATCGTTATATTTTAAATATTATTTAGATACAAACTAAAAATCAGTTAAACCAAACTCAATCAACTTTTTTTTTTCCAAAATTAACTCCATTTATTCAATAAATTCAATCAAATCTAGCTCATATCTGATACCATACAGATGAATGAACTTGATAAGCCAGCCAATCGGGCATGGCAAAATCGGTTGGTTGAAAGAAACTATAGGCAGGTCGAGCGGATCTACGGATGGAGGATTCTTCATGTCGATGAGGGCGTCGCAGGTTCAAAGGAGCACCGACATGTCGAGCTAGGGCCTTTGGATTGCATGTTTGACATTCAACCTGAGGGCATGAATGGTCGATGGATCGTCTAGAAGAGCAGCGCATCCGAGCTTAGCACAGACAGCACTCCACCTCGAGGTGAATTTGGGTAAGTCGCACGATTAGACCGTCTAATAAAACATACTAATGGATAAAAAAATTTTATTAAGATAAGAACCATACATGGATATGGCCTGGTGACCTAACAGAATTGGGCAATTCGAATAGTACGAACAGACAGTCTAGGCAGCAAAGTAACACTTTTATATAAAGGGATAAAGTATGTTCACTTACACTCTGCACTCTACATATTCTGTACTTACAAAAGTTTTACACTACTGTTAACTTCATCATCTTCTTCATTTGTGGGACTGAGACGCAGGCTTTCATGACAATGGGGGCACAAACTTCGGTAAACGGTTAACACCGATGGTCAACGGTCAACTCCAGATTTCAATAGTAGAATTAATATTTAAATAATTAAAAAGATTAAGGGCTCGCTTGTTTACAAAATAATTCGTCCAAAATGAGTTATTTTGGTTAACTAGAGTTAATTTTGAAAAATGTGGTATGGTTAGTTGTTAGTGGGATTTTAAAAATGTATTAAAATAATATTTAAAATAAAATGATTAAAATTAATTTGATGTAAAAGTATGAGATAAATAATTGAAAATGATTGAAACGATAGGTAGTTAAAATTATGTGAGTGGATGAATAGTGAATTAGAGTTGATGTGACGTGTAAGAATGATTTAGTTGTATTTATTAATTATATGAATAATATTAAAGATAGTGGGGGTTGAGTTAGATTTTGAGTATGAATTAAAAGTGAGTGAAATAATTAATAAACAAGCATGCCCTAAATCTTCACCAGACATTTTGTTCTCTATTTAATAGTTAAGACTGAGCCTCACAAAATAGAAACACGTTTGATTCAATTCCTATATTGTATATTAATGTGTATATAATATTTATTTTTTTATGTATATTATGGAGGACAGAGGATAGAAACAAGAATTTTGAGCATAAATTCCACAACTTGTAAAATAATACTATTGAAGGTTAAATGATTCTAAACATTTTTTTTTTATTTTTTTTATATTAAAGTAACTTCGCATAATAATTAATAACATGTATTTTTTTATGTTTATATAATAATACTTATACACATACTATATATATATATATATATATATACTATATTACTAAATGAATCTACAGGGACCCGTGCCCCTACGGGCCCCTATGCAAGTCCGCCACTGGACTTGATGGTCAGAGTGCTAACGCCAGAAACCCCTCCTAGCTCATCTTGCAGGTCTACGAGCAGGTCAAGGGCATATCTAATTCGTTTGAGCAAAAAACTTATATTATTTAGGACCTTAATAAATAATCCAATAATTGAAATAAAATTCAACAAAAAATGAAGAGTGTGATTAGATATAGATTTGTGATTTGATATTTTAGTTTTGATTGATTTTTTCGGTTAATCATAGTTATTTTTTAAAAAGTTGGTTGGGTTATATTTGAATGAGATTTTGAGTTTGTATTGAAATAATATTCAAATAAAAATGATTTGATGTAAAATTAGGGAAGTGATGATTGGAAGTTAATAATATTTAAAATTACGTGAGTGAATGAATAGTAATATAGTGAACTAAAATGATGTGATGTATAAATTTATATTATTTAATTGCATTGATAATATTAAGTATAGAGAAGTTGAATTAAATTTAAGTTAAATTTTGAGTTAAAAAACTAAATTAAATAGTTAGAAATGATTGATTTTTTATTGGATTTTTTATAACTTGTNATATTATATACAAAATGGCCAAAACCAAAAAAAACTTATACAAAGTTCAATCTCACTAGGATTACAATCCAACCAGGAGATAGCCAAAACCAACCAGGAAAACAATACAAAATTATTACACCCCTAAAACAAAAAAATAAAACTCAAAGACTAAGAGCATGTTTGTTTATGGAATTTTTCAAAAAAAAATTCCACATTTTAACTCAACACCACTATCATCAAAATTATTAATATAATTAAATAATATCAATCAATCATTCATACACACTATATCAACCTTAATTCACTATTCATCCACTCACATTATTTTAACTAACTATAACTTCATATCTCTCTCTCTTACTTTTACATCAAATTAATTTTAATTATTTTATAATAAATATTATTTTAATATACCCACAAATAACTAACCATACCACCTTTTTCAAAATTAACCAAACCAAACCAAAAAACTAAAAATTTTTATCAACATATATGCTCTAACCCTCTACTCTTCAAGTACTACAGTGTTCATCTTCCCCATCTCAACACTGGCAAATGGAGAAACTCATCGAGCTCTCCGACCACGAAATCCGCATCGACTTCGCACTGGACTGCAAATGCCGTACCACCATGCGCCTCAAATCCCTCATCTACAACTCCCCTCTCGCCTTCAAGGTCCAGACATCCTCCCCACACAAGTTCCTGGTCAACCCGCCGAGCGGACTCGTCCCTCCCCTCTCCACCGCCACCTTCCAAGTCGTCCTCAAGCCCCAGCCCCACCTACCCTCCGCCTTCCCCCGCTCTCCCGCCGACCGATTCCTCCTCAGAACCGCCGCCGCGCCGGACCTCGCCCCCGACTCGCCCGAGTCGACCCGCCCCGAGCTCCTCAGCCGGTGGTTCAACTCCGACCCCCACCGCCGGACCTTCGACGTCAAGCTCAGGGTCTACTTCGTGGGACCCTTCCTCATCGCACACGCCGTAGACGCCGGGGATTTCGAGGCGGTGAGGGGAATCGTCAAGAGGCAGAGTTCGATCGTCGCCGAGTTTCCGGATCGGGAGGCCGAGTCGCTGTACCGAGCGGCGGCTCGGTTCCCGGACATTCTGGGTTTGCTCCTGGAGGCGGGTCTCAGGACCGACGTGCGACGGGAGGAGCTGCAGTCGGCGGCGGACGATCGGAGCACGGACCGGCAAACGGCGTTGTCTGGGGCGGCGACGAACGGTGACCGTTGGATGGTGGAGATGCTCCTCGGGGCCGGCGCGGGCCCCACTGTTGGTGACGTGGATGGCTACCGTCCAGCCGCTGGTGTTGCTCGAGATAAGGGCCACGTGAGTAATTATTGTATTTTCTGTTGGGTTGTTTTGAGATATTTGCTTTATCGTCCCTGCACATTTTGTTCTGCCTGCCTTGTACGGAGAAAACGACATTTAAATCACATTAAACGTGCTGATAACAAGTAATTTTCCAAAGCTACTACTTAGAAGAAAATTGTTATTAGAAGACTCGTTTGTTTTGAGAGATTTAAAATTCCTTGATTTCAAAATTTTTTAAATATAATTTTTTTTATTTGTATACTCCTTGAATGGATGTGTTGAAAATATTATAAATAAATTGTCTAGCTCGCACCAATGGTGTTGACTCGCGGTGGTGATGAACCTAAATAATCGCGGACGGCGTGATCGTCAACGGTGATTAAAAGTGGATTTCAAATAACTAGATTTTATGAGTTATTTCAAATCCTTCAAAATAATGACTAAAAAATATCTAGCATGAATTTGAAATCCTCCAACTTTCATTATCATCCCAACATGCATGAGCATTTGAACTTGTAAATTTGAAATCTATGGATTTCAAATTCCTCAATAAATCCCTCAAAACAAACGGAGCCTAAGATTAGAATCCCTTCTAATAAAGAAAAAGCTCAGCAGATTTTATCATTACTCAACTTTAGGCATAAATTTCAACCTTATGAAATATCACTACTTATTACTTGCAACTCAATTTGTTATTGTAAAGGTCATCTAAATGTTCACTCAACCTTACTATTATTTTATTTAAAAAAAAAACAAAAAACTTTACTATTATTAATATTATCAATATAGTTAAATAATATCAATCAATCATTCTTACACGCATCACATCAAATTTAATCCACTATTTGTTCACTCACATAATTTTAACTAATTAACCATAATCACCCGTTCTCTACTTTTACATCAAATCAACTTTAATTATTTTATTTTAAATATTATTTTAATAAAGACTCAAAATTCCACTAACAACTTACAACTAATCATACAATTTTTTTTTTCAAAATTAACCTTAGTTAACAAAAAAACTTGTTTAAGCGAATATATTTATATCTAAGCATGCCCATATCACCACTCACTACTTTTTACTTTTTAAATGTAGACTGACGTGGTCAAATACGTCGAACGAGGCAGACAATTGCTCGATGCAACCAGACACGGACATCTCGACACCCTCAAATCCCTACTCAAAACGGGCGTATCCGCAAACTCGGCGGACAGTCACGGACTGACGCCACTCCACGTGGCAGCTATCAAGGGGAATGAAGAGGCGATCAATATGCTCGTCAGGTCAGGCGCCAACGTGGACCCCACTGATGCCGAGGGCCACACGCCCCTCCACCTGGCAGTCCAAGGTGGATTGACCGAGATAGTTCGGATCCTTCTAGAAAGAGGGGCCGATGTGAATGCAAGGAGCAATAGAGGCGCGACACCTGTTCGAATCGCCCGGTTGATGGGCGACGATGATATCAAGCGACTTTTGGTGGCCAAAGGGGCATCTTCATGATTTTATTTAATTTTTAATAATATGTTTATGGATGTAGACACTGTCTGGTCTTAATGATTGTATATTTGGAGGAAATTTTTTGCAATAATTTGCATGAACTGAACTTAGGGTTATATGTACTGCAGCTGAAAAATCACTGTATCTTAAATGTGATTATGTACGCAATAACATATTTTGAATGATTGTTTCCTTTTTTATAGTTGACCCTTTGGTAATAAATACCCATTGATTGATCTGATCCAACTATATCTCTATATGGTTTGACTAGCAATTTTTTTATGCATTTATGGAATTAAATATGAGACAGTAGCCATCAGTTATTTATGGATCTTGTGTTATTGATTAATTTTNTTTTAAACCGGTCTAAATTGTCTTTGGTATTTGACCATTTTAAACCGGTCTAAATTGTCTTTGGTATTTGAATAAAAATGCATAATATAATGTCAAATAACGTACTCTTGTTTATATTGCTCTCTAAATTATTATATTTTTTTAATAAAAATATGTATATTTTTAAAATAGTACGGCAGTCAATAATTAAATAAATTTAACACAAGATCAACCTCTTAAATTAATAATTATGCATGTTTTTACAATTAAATATTATTTTTTTAAAATAATATAAATAAATAAAAGTAAAAAGATGTAAGTTCAAGAATATATAATTGTGTGGAAATTAACCCATTTAACCATTTCTGATATGAACATCAGTTTAGACGAATCCAAAATAAGTTAAATAACTGTTTCCCATTGTTTTGGAAAGTATGTATAGTTACACCAAAACGTATATAGTTTCTCAAAATTAGTTTGGGGATAGACGTACAATAATTTGTGGAGCCCACACAGTATATTGTTTCTCGAAAACTTAACGATTATGCAAATTAGTGTTCAATGGAGACACATGACATGACACATCGCTCTCATTTTGTCAATTCTTCTAATTTCTCTTTTTATGCTTTAAAATCATTCACACATGTTAGTGGATTAATGTAAAATTTGGTAAATTGAATTTCATTAAGAGGTGATGTTAGTTGATTAATGTAAAGTTAATAAAATGGAATTTATTTAGAGTTTTGATCAGTTAAATATGTTAATTAGCTTAGTTGGTGAGTAGCTTATTTAATTAGCTTATTGATCAAAAACGTTAATTCTGAAACAATGTGAAAGCGTTTTGAGAAGAGAGAATACATAGAATAACATGTCTATATAAAATTTTCAAAATCATTATATAGTCCGTTATTAACCAATCAGTTATTTAAAAAACAACTAATATTTATCTCTGTTGGATAAGGAAAATTTTATTTTTATAATAGTTAATTTCATAAATCTTTTATTCAATTGGTCAAACCATTAGGCCGACTACTATGGTTCCCAATTATGTATACTTTTGTTTACTAATGTCAAATTTTAAAACAACATCAACATAATATGTCATTAAATAGTATAAATATGTATATTTATCTACAAAATGTGGGAGGTGGACACGTCTAACAATTAACCTATCTCACACGAGAATTTGAATTGACCAAGCTTCTGATTAAACAGTCTAGCATGAAACTATGAATCGATCCATTTAAAAGTTAGCACAACTAGGTGACACCAAAATTTGTGTAATATATATGTATAATTGTAGGAAAATAATTAATGAAACTATTTTATTTTTGTTTTTCTGCATATAATTTTCAACATTTTTAGTAAGTTTCGAATTCTGTTCAGTGTGTTTTTGCATTTTTAATTTTGTAAAACGTTATAATATTCAATAAACACTGCAGCAATTATGTTTTAGAAATTAAATTAATTTAATTGTATATTTTATTATTTTGGTAATTGATAAGTAATATTATATTTTCATTTACTCGTTACATTATTACTATTACATCTCTTACTTTGATTGTAAATTCATTTTAAATTTTGAATTTCAAATTATACATGAGTAATGAAATAATCCATATTGTACATGTATTTTATTGTATTATAATATTATCAATATAATTTATACAATATTTCTCTCAAAAAGATTAATATAGTATATAAGATTTATTTTATTTTAAATATTCTTTTCACTTTTGGTGATACATTTATCATTATTATTAATATAATTCTCAAAGTATATAAAAAATTATATTTCATTATAACAATGATTTCGCAAATTCCCATATTTAGATTGATTTATTATTTAAATTTAAAAATTAAGTTGATGCATTTCATTAAATGACTGTTAATTATAGTGTTATTTTTATATAAAATTATTTATTTATTTATTATTATTATTATTTTTTTTTTTNCTAGAAAATAAATAAATACATGAGTATAACTACCCACTCCCTAGTGGCCCAGTCATAACCATCTCGTCATAAATCGCGCCTTTCTCTCTCTTTCTCACTCTTCCCGACATGCATCCTTCTCTCCTCTTCCTCTCGCTAACCTTGCTCCTCCCACTCGCCGCGGCGGCGCCGCCGCCGCACCTCACCAGACACCGCCGCATCCACGCCGACGCGCCGCCGCAGGAGCACATCGAGGTCGCCCGCCCGCTCCCCATCGAGTCCCTTGACCTCTCGTGCGAGCTCCCCATCCTCTCCCACGCCTTCGGCAACACCATCGACCTCCCGCCGACCAACGACACCTACTACCCGCCGCCTGACTGCGCCTGGACCAACGCCGTCCTCCACCTCTCCGGCGCCTCCAACGGCTCGCAGTACGACCGCATCGCCGGCGTCTGGCTCGCCGGCGCCGAGATCCTCCGCACCAGCACCCCCGAGCCGACCGACGACGGGATCATCTGGAACGTTCGGAAGGACGTCACCAGATACTCCTCCCTCCTCCGTCAATCCAACATCACCCTCTCCGTCATGCTCGAGAACATCGTCAACGACGTCTACACCGGCGTCTACAATCTGAATCTCACTTTCTACTACTACTACAACGCCACCGCCGCAGACGCCGTTAATCCGCCGTTATCTATATTTCCCCCAAATCGAAGGTCAATACAAGTGAATGAATCTCTGGACCTGAATAAAAACCCTGCTGATTTGATAATCCCCATATCCGCGACCGGCGAGGAAAGCTTCTGGTTCAAAATCGAGAAGGAATTAGACGCCGTCTACCACGGGGTTCACATTCCGTTAAACACTTACAGAGCCGTCATCGAGGTTTACGTCTCCTTCCACGGCGACGACGAGTTCTGGTACTCCAATCCTCCCGATTCTTACATCGAGACCAACAACCTCACCACGAAGAGAGGCCACGGCGCGTACCGCGAGGTACTGATAAAGCTCGACAACGACGTAATTGGATCTGTCATGCCCTTCCCCGTCATCTTCACCGGAGGAATCAATCCCCTGCTCTGGGAGCCCGTGGTCTCAATCGGAGCTTTCGATTTGCCCTCTTACGAAATCGAATTAACCCCTTTTCTAGGCATATTGCTCGACAGCAAATCGCACTACTTTGGGCTTGGGGTTGCCGAGGCCATTCCATTTTGGCTGGTGGATGCGAATTTGCACCTGTGGTTGGATTATGAAGTCGATCGGGTTCAAGCCGGTCCCATCAAATACAGCAGCCCAAGCACGAGCGTCGAGCGCGAGTTCAAATTCAACCAGCTCGACGGGAAATTCGAAACTGAGGGGGAGAGGGAGAGCAAATTCTCTGGCTGGGTTTTCACGAGCGCCGGCAATTTCACGACCTATGTTACGAATAAGTTGGAATTCGAAAACACAATCGAGTACAAAAGCAACGGGACTGAAAAAAAGGTGGAGCACGAAGTGGAGATTAAGAGCAATGTGCAGGTGAAGTCCGATTTTGGGGCAACAATCTCGGCTCTTACAGTTAAGAGAAAGCATTCTCTGGAATTCACGACCGTGAATCTCCCGGGCTCGGGGGAACGTAATTATCTGGTGACTACGAAATTGGAGCAGTCGATGAAGGAGGAGAAGAAGGTGGAGGAAAACGGTAGTGGAGAAGTTCTGAGCAAATTGGATAACAAGCAGAAAGCGAACGGGTGGATGTTTGTTCGGGATCACGATGTGTTGTCTGGCTCGGCAAGTTTGGAGCAAAGGTATAAGGTGGAGGATATTTTTGGTTGCTACACGAGACGGGTTTTGGCTGATGGTGGCTCGATCAGGACAGACATGGAGAATTTTATCTGTGGAACAACTGCTGCTTCTGGATCTATTGTGGTTTGGTAAGTGTTGTTTGGGGCAATGTTTTATGTTTACGAGGGTTATTCTGGTTTTTTAGTTTCTTCCTCTCGGAATTGGCCTTTTCAACTCTTTGGAGTGTGAAATTTGGGGTTCTATGGCTTGTTTGGTGTGCATTTTTGCCTTCTTGATTTAATAATGATGGTTTTACGGAGTTTTGTATATGTACAGTTTATGGCTTTTAAGGTTTTGAATAAAAGCATTTTCTTGTTCAAATCCTCTCTGCCCAGCAGGTGATTTACAATTTGTTTTACCATCCCAACTGTTCATGCTTTTAAATGTTACTTAAGAACGAACAGAACCAAGCTCGAATATTACTTTATTTATTAGTTTATTTATCTATATTAACGAATCGAACTCGGACCTTAACAAGTGAAACTTGAACTTTCACAAGCCAAGCTAATGTGTAAAATCATAAAATTACACAAAAACCCCTATGCTCGAGTCTTACCTGCCTCATTAGCTAAATGCACGTTAAAAAAGATCAAGCTTGAGTTCAACTCAACCGCCTTAACAAGCCGAGCTGAGCTCATGGGATGCTCATTTCATTTAACATAAACAGCTTATTCGGACCATATTCATCCGAGTGATGAAATTTCAACGCTGAGAAAGTCCTAATACTGTTGGGAGCAAAAGTTTCATATAGTTAAATAAAAGGGTGACAAACTTCAACACACGAAAACAGAACAAACATGGAGATACGTTGTAACAACACACTCAAAACTGAAAAAACATTTTGTAACAACACACTCAAAACTGAAAAACATTTTCTTGCAATGAGATCACTGCACTCAGGTTGAAAAAAATGGAGGAACAGGGTACAAACGAAAATCTGGTCCAACTCTTTAAATATTGAACTAAACAAGAACCCAAATCACTCGGTTATGCCAGTTCCAGAATTTTCAAGATCGATTTCACCCATTCCAGTATCTTCTTCCTCTTCGCTGTCCTCATCACCACTGACCTCTTCATTTTCACGTCCAAGCTTGGCCATCTGCTCGGCAAGCAATTTATCCTCCCGTTCGCTCACCTGATAAAAGATCACATTCATCATATATTTGTTACAGCCCAAACAAAAGGTCATGAATGAAGGGCAGAAACAGAAAATATCAAACTGCAGTAAAGAATGCGTATAAAATTTTTTAGAAACACAAAATTATCCTTACAGCTCTTGGTGCCTCCTTGACAGTAAGTTTTCCTTTGTTTTGTTCGATTTCTTTCGTGCATAACTCAATTGCCTTATTTAGGATTGCAATACCTTGTTCCTGCATCACAAAATAACAATGGAGCCAATTGGAAACTACACTAAATTCATATGTTACACAATATGATACTCAAATATTGAAAATTTGACAAACAAAACGTGAGGGACTGACGAGAAATATCTCTCAAAAGATAGAAATCGTGATTGAGAATAACAATTAGATAGTTCATGCTAAGCTCCATGACATGCATACTGATTAGGAACATCAGTCACACAAAAGGTCGGAGTGATTGGGAATGAGGTTTATTTCATCTTATCTCTACTTGGTATGGAATTCCCCTAATACAATTACAAGAAAACTTGAATAGCAAAGGACAGCTCTGATTTTACCGAGATTTGCATATTCAGTGCCCGCTGCCAAGTATTGCAGTGGTAATTTACTTAAATTTCAGTCAATATTTTCAATCTACACTTGTTCCATCATTTACAAACATTGGTGAACGGAATTGGGAATGTGTTTTCCAGCAATATGAACAGATAGGAATAATATAAGTTTTATAGCAAATTGAAACAAAGTACACTAAGCAGAGCTAGCAGAACTGGTAAGAGTTCAAAAACTTGAATCAAATGACAAGATGGCTTCAGTCCAAAGAAACCCAATAGTGTCTCGTAACATTGTTTTCTAGAAGTTGAGTCCAAATTACTTTGAATTAGTAAAGCAAAAAGAGCATGCTTGTGAAAATAGACAAAAACTGGTACTAACACACAGGTTGGGAACTCAGCATAGTGACATATCCTCATAAAGATGACTAAATGTCATGAACTAGAAATGAACTAATTTACTTATTTGATTTTTATCGAGAGATGCTCATAACTACAGTAAAAGACGAGCTGTTTGCTAACTGTTATACAACACTGGATACATAGTACTGAAGTATTCTTATAGCACAAGCATTTATGCAAGTTTAACATATTCCAAGTAGTGGACGTTTATTTTCATATGCTCATCGTTCTGTATTTTGGAGAAAAAAAAAAAGAGAGCTTTTCTTTCCCAAAAAAGCAAGCTAAAAACATCACCCACTCCCGCAAAATATATAACAATGTGTTCAATTGTGTGAAGTTAGGGACTAAAGAGTGCGGTGTAGCAATAACCCAGATAATGTGGATTGCTTATCCAAGGATCAGATAAGAAACATGTGCTATGAGCAGCACAAATGCAAAGCCCGTTCCAAAATCAATTCCCAATCTGAGCCTGTTTGCCAAAATATTAAGATTTACCTTGTCAAGAGTTTGTGTGTTTAGCACATAAGCCGGAGGAGCAACCAGCTTAATTTTAACAGGGCAATCCTTGTTGCCAGCAGATTCGGCTTTACGCATTGCTTCCTGCAAAATTTAGCTCAAATCAGTACTTGCAGCCAATAAGCTTGTCTTCTAGTAAGATGCAAAAATCCAGAATAAGAGTATCAGATGAGAAATTAAAGGACTCAGACCTTTATGTGCAGGACACCATCAAACTGAAAACATTTCATTTCAATGTCCGCACGAATCTTCAAAGGTTGGGGTGTCATTCTTCTCCTAATATTCTTTACTAGAGCATCTTTTACTTCGTCGGTTATAGCAGGAACCACCTTCTTCACCTACAAACAATATATTGAAAACGGCCATACCAGTACTAAGAATTTTAATATTTTATAGTTGGCAACTTGCACATTCTTGATATGACTGAAAAAACGGAAACTACCTCCTGTCCATCAGGACCGACTTCTTTGATTTCACGAGTGAGAGAATCAAGCACTGAATCAGGATCATTGACGATCAATTTGAATGCCTAGAGTTTCAAATGAAAACATAAGGGAATTGAGATAGTCATATATCAAGCTGCGGTGATTCATAATGGTAATTCACCATCGGTAAACAAAAATTACCTCAAATGCGTGGCCATATTTCCTGTACAATGGCCAGCCAACATGGATATAAAGATCCTACCATAAAACACTAAACATTAGTAAACTAAACCATAAATCCTTAAGCATATTGTAAACATAACAACAAATGCAACACAGAATTAGGATATCAAGATAAGAGCAGGACTGATTGAACAATGACCGGATCACAAACCACGAAACATAAGCCGCCAATTGGGAGAAATTCAAAAGTACCTAAACAACCTAGCACATACTGTAAAAAACCTAATTTTTATCAATAATCATTTCGAGATTTACAAAACTGCATGGTTTGTGAATGCAAAAAGGCCCAATTTTGAGAAATGTTTGCTATCCTAACATTACTAATTATACAATGAAAATGGAAATTAATGAAAAAAAAAAAAACAAATGCAGTACCAACCTCGAGGTCAAGACTCATGGTCTCAGCAACGTGCCGCATAATTGAGTGAACGAGCTTGCTCTTATTGAACCTCTCCTCGCACGCCTGAATATCCTCTTCCGAAACACGCCTCTTGCTCAGATCAATGTAGCCCTTCTCTTTATCGACACGGAGAACCATGACGGGCTCGATGCGGCCGACCCTGATGAGGCTGCTTATGCTACGGATACGGCGGCGGGAGAGCTCGGAGAAGAGGATCATGCCCTCGATGTTGTTGTACTCGAGGAGTGAGACGTACGCGCCGCTGTCGGCCATACTCTTCACCTGTATCATCACCGCCTGGTCCACCTCCGGGTACCTCGCCTCGTACATCCTACACTCAAGGTTGGGTCCGGCCATGGCTTTAGGTTTTCTGCGAGCTTGCTAAACGGGAATTAGGGTTTCAATTGGGAGTAGATTTTAAAGCGAGACTGCGAGAGTGCGAGACCAATGAGAATTTGGGTTTTAGTTTTAATTTGGGGAAAGCCAAAATCAATTTGGTATTGGACTACCATATTATGGTCCAAGTTATCATGTCAATTGTAAAATTGATTAATTAATTCTAAAACTTTGAAAATCACATTTATTTTATTGTTTATTTATTTATGTTATACACTGGTTTATAACATCCGTGAGTATCGAGCTAGTTAAAAAAATTACACTAAAATTTAGAAAAAAAATTGAAAAAGATAAGTTATTTATTTAAATTTTAATATTTTTAACAAATATTGTATTATTACTTATAATTAAAATAATAGCTAAATAATAACTATTTTTTTATGTATATTGACATTAGATCAACCATACCAAAAGAAGTGATTTTAAGGCATAATAAAACGAATTATGTGTAATAGTTTAACCGTTTACGAGAATAACAAATCAATTACGTGCTTATGAACAAGGAATAGATACGAGATAGGTTAATATGTTGGATTATAAATGATCGTCGATCAATATGGAGAGGTCGACACAATAACTAAGAGAAAAATGGCATAGTGGTGTTTTATTAATGTATGTTTTTTCATCCTCATTATAAAGCCTTAGTGGTTGAATTTATACACGAGAAAAGTATGAATGCAATGATGACTATGTATCAACTAAGGACATGGGGAAGTGACACATGTTCCCATACAAAAAATTGGAGTTTTGATGATGGGATCGGTAGACTGTCACTTTACCGGTTCTTGTTTACATTGTAGAGAGATCGACAAACGATAGCAAGAAATGCTAGTTGGGAGATTGGCTAGTAGTAGGAACTTTAAGACCAGCACAACAGGAAAGAATCCAAAGCTTGCAAGGATGTTAGGCTTCAAACGGGACAGAAAAATTAGAAAGCGTAGAGGCCTGGAGAGAGATCGATACAATACTGGTCACCGGGGTTCTTGAGCTTTGTCTTCCTAATTTGGGCCTAAACTGATATGAGTCCAATTTTCATAGTGGGTGACGTGTCTCTTTTGCTTAATGGGTTGACCTAAAATATACGCGTGAGTCGTAACAACTTATGCACAATAACATATTTACTCGACATAGATGTCAAATTAAAACTCGTCACCAAATTATTAACTTGTTATATCATATAATAAAAAAATTAATAATAAATATAAAAGTTATTAATTTTTAAATATATCTATAATTTAAGTTGTTTAATTATTTTGTAAATTTAATAAAAAAATATTGTAATATTTTGGATTTTTTAAGCATTCATTAGGGGCACTGTTCAAGCAAAATTAGTTGAAAATGTTTTGTGTTGACCTCATGTTTTTCAATAAGTAAGAGTATTGAAAAAACTCATTTAATAAATTGAACTAACGTTTCACAAATCAAATAGAGGGCTTGTTTGTTTTTTGGCGTTTTTGGCCAAACTGCTATTTTAGCGGTTTTAACCGAATCTGAAACGCCAAAGTAAGGTTGAAATGTTGTTTGGTTGGCTGGCTTTTTCCCTCAGCTTTTTTTTTGAAAAAGCCAAAAATGAAACGCTAAGGGGAGCAGCGTTTTCTGCTAGCTTTTTTCACTTGCTTCTTAGATTCTTGATAAATATTTATTGGCTCAATCCTATACAGTTGTTGTTAAGCTTTTTTTCTTCAACTTTTAATTGCCTTTTTCCTACAGCTTTTTCTTTCATAGGTTAACTAGTTCAAATATCAATTTTATATTTAATACAATTTACATTTGCTACCTTTAATATTTTAATTAGTTATTTTTTATGTTGATTTTTTATAAATACGAAAACTTAATTAAACTATTTAATCATATCAAATTTATTTTTATAATCATTGATATAAATTATTTTATCAAATTAATAATGCCACCTATAATTTTTCAAAATCAATCCGCTAACTTTACCAAACAACATTTTGCGGAACCGTCAAAGCTAACAGCTGGTCAAAACAGCTAACACAATCCGCTGGTCAAAACAGCTATCGCAATCCGCTAACAGCTAACAACTAACAGCTGATTACCAAACAAGGCCTGAGTTGTTTTCGCTAATAGCTTGGTTCAACTAAATGCTCTACCCAACACGAGCAAGCTAAGGTAATAAAAATTGTTACTTACCTTCATTTCTAATGGCTAGATAATCAGACATTATCAAAACCTATAAATACTCTCATACTCAATTATTATAATCTGTAAAATAATATAAATTAAATGTAATATTTTCTAACATAATAATGTATCTATATATATATAATTGCTAACTAAGTAATAAATTTTACCTAATAAATAAAACCTAATAAATTTTACCTATGTGGCAAATCATTAATAAAACCTAATAAATAGAACCTAATAAATTTTATTTATGTGGCATTAATACACCTAATTAATCTCATTAATAAGAAAATATTTCATTACATTTTTTGGGTTAATTAAGACAAAAACCATTATATTTTATGTTAATTGATTAATAATTATATTTTTTATTGAATAATATAATAGTTAATATTAAAATTAGTAATTATATTTTATACTAAATAATATATGAAAGTTACATAAAATTATATTTTATACTAAGATCAATATTTTTTTATATGATGAAGATGTTGTTTATTAATAAATTAATTTATTTTTATGTCATAGTAAAATTTCTTAAAATCACATAAGCAATTGTTATAATAAATGTAATATTTTTCAGCTAATTAATTGGTCATGATCACTCAAAATTATAAAATGTATATATTTATTGCATTTTATGCAATCAATATAGTGATTCGTATACAATCAAATCGTGTGTACTATTTATTTTAACCAATGATCAAATTTTAAAATATAATACTATTATATAATTTATAATTTTAATATTATATACACAAATATAACTTATAATACTATATGTTTGAAATATAATACAATTATATAACTTATAATTTTTATATTATATACATAAATATAACTTATAATATTTAATTTTATTTACATCTGTGCAAATGCACAAGGTCGAATACTAGTTTAAAAATAATACCACCAACTACATAACAATTAATGAAGTTTCATAAAAAATTTATGTCAAGAATTTATTATGTTTAAAAAAAATCCTAAAATAACTAACCAAAGAAATTCTCAAACGTAAAAATTTTATTACATTCATCATACCTTTGTCCCCACTACTAACTCCTCCCTTGAAAATCACCACACTTTTTCATCATCGGAAAAAAGCCCACTCGAAAAGCACAGGAGAAAACAAAAATCTCACTCGCAGCTTTTATTGCCGTATAAACCTCAAAGAATCAAAACCCCTAACTCCGGTAGCTGATATGGCGGCCAACCCGCCGGCAGGTTACGCTTCCGACGATTTCCTAGAACAAATGCTTGCGATTCCTTCGTACGGCGGTCTCGGTGGAGCCGACGCCGCCAACGCCTCGGGGACTTCGTCACTAAGCGATACTGTCTCCCAGCTCGGTCCATCCGCCGCCGCCAACCTCCACCACCCACCGCCGATGTTTCCTTTGAGCCTGAGCCTGGACAACGGCCGCAACGCAGTAAAAAGCTACGGCGACACTGCCGTGAGGCCAGTAAGCTTATTTGTCTTTAGTTTCTTTTTCACCCTTTTTTGGTCATGAATAATAGTCCTAAGTCAGTTAAACTGTGATTATAAGGAAAAAAATTGCAGATAATGGAACTACTTGGCGTATTTACCCTGTTGTGTGATTTCTGTAAAGAGCCATTGTCATCCATTCTCATCTTTCTTAGTTATGTGGATTTTAACCTGTTTTTGCAGGGAAGGGAAGCAGTTAATAACAGCATAAGGAGCTTACATCCGGTTTTTGATCATTTACAGGCTCATGCATTTCGCCATCCCGTGCCTCAAGTTCCACAGGTTAAACTCAACTATGCACATAATAATAGTACATTTGTCATATTTCTTCTAGTTCTAGTTAATGTGAATGTGACGAGGCCAATGCTTGCACATCTCCAATTTCGAGGATAGGGAGATTTATTGAGATCCTATAATTAAGTGTATTTATTTATGAGGTCTATATAAAACAGTGGTTCAGAGTTGGGCAAATGGATGTGTGGTGTGCTTAACAGGCTAATAACTCTACATAATTTGTTGATGATAATGCTACCTAGGACAAAGATTAAAAATGAGATTGATGAATGTATTGACTTGTGGATCACTATAAGCCAATCGAAATTTCCAGCTTCATTTGACGTGCTCATTGTACACTGTCTATTTCATACATGTCTATCCTGTCATGAACCTGGGAGGCATTTATTTATAGTTGAACTGAGCTTATTGAGGAGCTTATAAGATTCTCAGAAAAATATTAATATCTCAACTTAACAAATTCCGAACAAACTCTTGTAAGTACTTTTAGCCAATTATATTGACAAAGGAATTGATTTAGTTTTTAAAATATGAGACATGAGTTGGATTAAGAAAGTCAAGCAACTTGTGTACACTTAATCTATTGATGAGAGTTTTTCAACTTTGTAATTTTGTGCGGTTATGCAATTTGGATAGGTTTTATAGATTTTACCTACCTGTATTTTCCTTCTTTAACCAGAAGCATTATTTAATACTTCTTTTATGCTGAGCAGTAAGCACTTATAATAGTAATTTCTTCTGCAGGCCTTTCAAGGTATGCCAAGAGAAAGCATGGCTGTAACCGTGCCACACCCGCCTGTCATCAGGCCTAGAATTCGGGCAAGAAGAGGCCAAGCAACGGACCCCCATAGTATTGCTGAGCGGGTACACCAGTTTTTGTTAACAAGATATCTATATATCCTTCTTGAGGGGGAAAACTATTTCTTCTATTTCTTATTAATTGTGCATCTAAATTAACTGATACATCTATACAGTTGCGTAGAGAAAGGATATCTGAAAGAATCAAGGCTCTGCAAGAACTTGTTCCCAGCTGCAACAAGGTTCACATAGCTTTTAATTCTAGTAGTTCTTGCTGCTGAGGTGGCTTTATCTTATATGCTTGGCGAGTTCTTTTAACAGTTTAGGTATAATACTGCACCTTAAGCTGCCGAAAACAAGTCATAATTTCTGGTATTAAGTCTCATATGTTGCTGACCAACCTTGCCTCTGAGATTCTCAAGCGACATTCCCGATGACTTTGGTGTGGGTGCAGCACCTTAAGGTGCTTTCAGTTTTGTGGCAAATGGAAATTTGTATTAGAACTCTGTTTGAGAAGTGGTATGATTAGAAGTGGTATGTATTAGAACTCTGTTTGAAAAGGAAGTGGTATGATTAGAAAACATGAAGTGGAGAAGGGGTCAGCGTGTTTCATTTTACTTTTCTACACTGTACATGCATGCATATCCACGTTTATGTCAAAGTATATATATACAACACACATTTTAGCCATTCCTACTACAGTTTGATGACGATTCTCACAAATATTGGTTTATAGACTGTGTTTAGCTCATTGAAGTAACCTATTAGTGATAATTGATATGTTAACAAAGGAACATGATTGAATTTGATTTATTTGGTTTTTATTGATTTTGAACTAATTTGCTGGCTTGTCCTTTGTTTTTGCAGACTGATAGGGCTGTTATGCTCGACGAGATACTGGACTATGTGAAGTTCTTAAGACTTCAAGTCAAGGTCAGATTGCTTGTTTACTGTTGTCATGAGTGAAATATTTTTGTAGTAGCATGTATGACTCTGGACTCGGTGGATCCTCAGCTTGATGCTGAGTGCTATTTAAATACATTCATGTCCTTGTTTTTATTATTTTTTTCATTTCAACTTATATGCCCTTAGGCATGAGCATACATATTTAAAAAAGGAAATCCCAGATTGTATGCCATAAAGTACTTTTGGGAGGTCTTGACCTGCCAGTACAGAAAGTCGCCCAACTCCGAAATTTCTGGTTTTTAGTCGCCAACCTCTTAAAATGTCTTGTTGCTTTATTAGTATTTAAATTATTCAATAAATTTCTAATTTTGCTGTCTGCAAAGTTCATCCTCAACCTGTTTTTTTTAATGGGTCGCTATCATCTTTTAGGTGAAAACAAAAGATAAAATCTTAAGGCGATATGAGTCAAGTTGTGCCGATTGATTGAATAGTTTGATCTATATATTGTATATAAGCCAAGAGGCAAGAGTCATTCCTCTCTCTCTCTCTCTCTCTCTCTCTCTCTCCCTGAAATTAATAACTTAATGTTGAACAGGTTTTGAGCATGAGTCGGCTAGGCGGTGCTGGTGCAGTGGCACAACTTGTTACCGATATACCCTTTCAGCCCATTGAGGTATTTTTTTTTATTACCCTTCTAACTACAACCTTTTAACAACAGCTGTTTTTATTTTTCGCATATTAGTTTCTAATATATTTACACCACAAAACCTTTTTTTCCCTCGATCGTTTTACTTTAGGACGACACCGGTGAAAACCAGCACGTGTGGGAAAAATGGTCGAATGAGGACACAGAGCTTGATGTGGCTAAACTCATGGAGGAAGATGTAGGGGCTGCAATGCAGTTGCTTCAGTCAAAATCACTCTGCATCATGCCTGTTTCACTTGCCACCCTTATCTATCCCACTAACCAATCAGATGTCCCGAATCACGTCAAATCCGAGCCCTCAGCCCCTCTTTAAAGAAAAAGAAAACGAAAAAAAACACATTCAAATATTTGATTTCATATAAATGTATTTAACATTTCCAGTTTTTTGTTCGGGTGGATGGTTCGCTCGTCATTTTCCCGTCAGTTTGGTTTCAGGTAGAGTCACAGGTGGTGTTTTGTCCAAGTGCATTCTTGTAGTAAATGGGCTATGAATGATGTTATTAGTGTACTGGATTAAACATATGTTGCGTTGCGCGTAGTAGTTTAAAAATTACATTTTTTTTTTTCCTCTCATAGAACTAACTGTCTTGCTAACTTCCTGTTGATGGGCTTTCTTATACTCGAGATAAAGTAATATTGAGAAGACGTTTATAAGAAGATTTCGTAGTATTTTATAGTATTTGCAACAAAAATACGAGGTGGTGAAAAGACATTTATTGAAGTAATTGACAGGTCCTGTGAAAGCACGACTAGAAAAAATTAAGAAAGTTATGAGAAAAAGAAAAATAAATGCAATTTCTGACTCAAATACAAAAGTAAACAGTAAAAGTTGTTATATTTTCAATTAAAAAACATACTGTACTTCATAAATGTGAAGAACAGTGTAACGACAGAATTAAACAAACGCAAACAAAACCCTCTCAGTCTAGAGAAACAACCCGTCGCCGTGGTGGCAAAATCAGCTGAAATTCAGACCACAAGAAAAGGATGAGAGGTCCAATGAGTTCACAATCCTAAATATATTATTAACTTGCACTTTATTAGTGATTGGTTTGAAATTTGTTTTTATCATTTGTGTAAATTGTGTATAATATTGGTTTATCACTACTTTATTATATATAATTTTTATTTTAAATATCGCCTTTTCATAATATAAAAACGAACATATAAAATTATCAATAACATAAGCCTTTTAAAATTATCTTTATTGATAAGAAAAGTTCTAAAAGGCATTAGGCATTTGCTAGTCGGCAAGTTAATATATTTATAAGGGTTGTAAAAATATTAATATTGTAAAAATATAATAATTAAAATAGTTAAATACAAAGTTTTTTGATATTATACATTTATAATTATGATATTAATTCTATATTACTATTATTAATCAATTTTATAGTATTGTACATTTTATCTATTTTTATATTACTTTAAAAATAAATTAAAAAGATGTAAAACAATATACGCATACTACGTACAATTAAGCTATGTATGGTAACCAAATAAGCTAACTAGTTTATTTTGTTAGCTTATAAGCTACTTGTATTCAAATTATTTTTGTTTGGTAGGAGAACCTATTTTAAAAAACTAAAACTTATCTCATAAACTTATTTGAGTAGTTTTTCAAATCAACTCGTTGAAATTTTTATTTCAACTAGCTTATAAGCTAATCTTACCAAATACTTTTATCAAATAAGCTAGCTGTTCAACTAGAAATTATAAAATATAAGCTAAAAAATCACTTAAAACATATAAACTAACTTATCAGCTATCAATTAACTTATCATTTGATTTTACTAAACATAGACTCAGGCGAATTTTTAGAACATAAAAAGTATATAGAAGATGGTACATTTGCAAAGTGAAAATATGGAGTTATATATATTTCTCAAAAAAATCCCTAACTCCATTAAAGACCTATCATTTAATAACCCAACTACAA